CACTAGGCCGCACTAGGCCGCACTAGGCCTCACTCCCTCACACGAGCAGGACCGACAGAAGAGAACCTGTGCCTTCAGATCCACCAGAAGAGAAGAAGGCAGAGCCTTCTCTCTCCTTCTTATTTATGCCTCTGCTTATGTAAAGAATAGCATGGAATACTGGGAATATAAGGTACTTCATGGTTACAAGCTGGTCTCTAGGAAGGCCTAGACTAAAACTATCCCACCTCCTCAGCTCCAGCCCCTCCTCAGCTGATGGGCACCATGGCCAGAGTTGGGTGGCAGCCCCTGTCAGTCCCTCCTTGTGCATCCAGCCCTCTTGTCACCCATCCCATGGGAGTTCTCCAGCTGGGAGATCCCTGTGGCAGCCACAGCACGACCCTGTCAGCCTCCATCTGTCCTGAACCAGGAGCCCTCCAGCTCCCTTGGAGATCCAGGGGTTTTCTAGGTTTTCTAGGTGTCACCCCAAGATCAGGCTCACAAAGCACCATTATTTTTTCCCATGACTGTATTTTCCAGCCATAAATGTTCTCCAAGGTCAATAAACCCGCTCACCTGGGGCGAGGGGGTTGTCTCCTCTTGAGAGACTTGGCTTCCACCAGCCTTGCTGCATCGGTACCTTTAACCCACGGAAAAGTAAAGACAAAAGGAAAAGAAATGTGTTGATGAATTGCTTTGTTTCAATTTTGTAATCATGCCATATGTAATTTACTTTGTGATTGTAGTGGAATATATATATATTTTTTTTTTTTATTTCCTTAGGCAAAAAAAAAAAGTGAATGTCAGTTTTTTGACCCTCTCAGTAATCGAGGGAAAATAGGTGGCTTTAAGGAGAAGGTGTCCTTGTGGACAGATCCAGAGTGGGAGTTTGGCAAACTGACATCTATTTCTATGCCTGGAAATATAAAAAAAAAAAACCTCCTGAGAAGTGTTTGTGAATTGTCTCACAATTTGCATTACAAACTGAAATGCAAATCACTACTGCACTGTGTGTGTTACCTTTAGGATCTCAGAACCTGTTTTTGGTTTGAAGCATTTTTTCTTTATATAATTCCCATAAAATAACAC